AATTGGTGTTTTTCATTTCATTTTCTAATGCCTATTTCTCATATATGAAAAAGCAATTGGCTTGCAGATCAGTCATCCCAGATTCACCTTGCTAGGAAGACTTATCATAAAATGATTAATAATTTCTACATAGACAATCATGTTATGTTCACACAATGACAGTGGCATATCTCTCTCTCTCTCTCTCTCTCTCTCTCTCACACACACACACACACACACACACACACATACACCCTATACTTCTGTTTCTGTATTAGCTAAGTCTTTAAGTACAAAGCTGAAAATGTGTGAAGAGAGGTGACTTAATGAAAAATTTCTACTTTTTCACAATTCAGTATGATAATAACATTGGTATTTGATACATTAATTAGTCTGACTCTGGGGGTCTCTGTGACTAATTTCCTGTGACTGTTCATGATAAATGGCTGTGGCACCTCACAAATACTAACTCTTCATCAAAAACTGCCTCCATTATATATGTTTTTTATTTTAACCCTGTTACTATCATTAATACCATATGCTTTACATTGTTGGATGGAATTTACATGAATGGATAAATTCTACTTTTTCAGGAGGTGTTCTTTTCATTTTATAACACATACTCATGGCTAACAGCAGGATATCATCTAAAAACTCACATTTAGTCAATGTTTTTTACATTGTTAACATTGTAAAATACTTAGCAAAGTCTCATGAATATGATGCCACAGATTACTTGCTCTTCGGGACTGTCTCTACAGGTTGCAAGAATGATATTTTTGTAGATTTTGCATCTGTGTTCATGGGAGGTTTTAGCCTATAATTTGTTTCTTCTAATTTCTTTTTCTTGATTTACAATTAGGTGATGCCATCTTTACAGCATGGATTAGCTTACAAATTCCATTCTCTAGACCTAAATATCCAGTTAATTAGGTAGCCTGTACTCAATTTCTCTCTCTACATAAGCAGATCCTTTTTGCTTTTTGGTGTGTTATTGGTTTTTTTCAAGACAAAGTCACTCTGCAGAGTCATAACTGTCCTGTAACTCACTATGAAGACCTGGTTGTTCTTAATCTTACAGATATCCACCTTCCTCTGCCTCAGAAGTCTGAGTTTAAAAGAATGAGCCACCAGAACTAGCAGCTGAGCAGGCCCTAGGAGACTACACTTGTCCACCCCATCAATACACCACCTCACTCTGTCCTCATGGAAAATGTTACCTGGACCTGTCAGACATTTGTCTGAATCTTGGAGGCCCATGGAGGGAGGAGATATGTCCTGGTCCAGAAACATGATGCCTAAAATAAATGTAGACATTGATACTCTGATAGTTACTACATTGGAGGTCAATGGGAGATGTACAAGGAACTGGCGTGCTACATGACACCACCCAGCCTAGACACTCTAAGGTCCTTTCTACTCTGTGCACAACACTAGTTTACAGGAAGTTATGCAAGGTGGTGAGGGGAACAGGTTGCTAATGGAAGCATGAGCAGAATCTATTGTCTCTGCCTCAGGGAAGAAATGATTGTCCTATATTCAACCAATACCAATACTCCCTAATAGTTCAGCCACTTCCACATGAAGCTGTCGGGGAAGGAATGAGCAACACCAAAGTGAACCAGAAGAGAAAGGGCTGATTGGATCCAGCAAAGATGCCCAGTATCTGTGAAATTATAGACCCTCCTCCTATACCTAAGTCAGCAAAGTACTTTCTGGAATCAGGTACAAGTGACCAAGTCAGGATTCCCACACTTTGCTTCCATGTGTTGTCCTCTGAGAGGGTAGCATCAGGTTCTGATGTCTCTTAGACTCATTAATCAGGAAGGGCCAACAGACATGACTAAAGTGTAATCTGATCAAAGCACATCCTCAGGTGAGCTTCCCTATTTCACAGGTGACTTTAGTCTACCTCAAGATGAAAAAACTAACCATTGTACTCTCCCACCCTGATTCT